GATACCTCCCATTCTAATGATTTCCGGCTATTAGCCCATTGGGAAAGAATAAAAAAATGGATTTTATTTATAAGAAATAATACGGTTTAAACCCATAAATACAACAACAAAAGATAGGGATCCACCAACATTTTGTGGGTCAAAGAATGTTGAATTTCATAGTATAAAATTGCTTGTATAAGAATTTACTTTCTAAAATGTATCCATCGTAATTATGAACTGAACCCAATTACAGCCTTTTTCTAATTGCACTTGACAACCCTGCTCTTCTGCTTTGAGATACATCAGTATATTCTCTGCATATGAAAAATTGGATACAAAACATACTAATGAGATAACGAAGAGAAGTTTGCAGCTCTGTTTTGAAATAAATTGAAGATATCGGAGGTCATATGGAGTTTATATACCAACTATTCTAAATGAGATTTCAAACAACATGTGTTAGATGAGAAGTAGCATCTCATTCTTACGTATACCATACTCACGTGCACTTGAAATTCCCAATGTGAAGAGGGGAGAAAGTGCAATACCTCTCTTGTATCTAGCAAGCGTAGGAGATCCAACATTTCACAAGGACATTAGTTTGATAAAGAAGCAAGCTACATCCAATCATATATTAATACCGGCAATCACATCCCACAATATACTCAATTTTAATAAAGAGAAACATAAAGTTACCCAAAAGCTGAAGGTTTGAGTCCTGCTGAAATGGCCCTATATTTTTTTAGGGTAATGTACTGTGAAAAGGAAAAACACAAAAGAAGAGCTTCTCTAGGAGGACAAAGGAAAAAAAACACAAAACAAGATAAACAAGACAGGAAAGAGGACTAGCACTAGCTGTAGAATGTAATAATATAAACAAGGCAGAATGCCCAATTTGCACTAGCACTCGTCTTTTATTCTAGGCAAGTACTACTACTAAGAAGTCATAAATACCTGCGCGACCATTTGCAGAAGATTCATGCAATCCACCCACTATTAGCACATATATATCTATCATGGCTTGGATGATTCGCATACTTTGATCCAATACTGATTTCAAGTCTGTGATGTAATCACTGATTGGTAATTCTAACTGCGAGAAATGTGCCTGAATGCAGAATTTATGCATGGTAAGAGAATAAAACGATGAGAGAACTAAAAAGGATAAGGACATGAAGTTTTTATTTGAAAAACATATAGTTGAAGACAACTCTGACCTGAAATAGCAGATTGGCTTTGACATGTGGATCATCTAAGCGGTCCTTATCCACTTTATATCAAACTCAGGTTCAATATTGTACAAGCCATAGTAAGCTGGATTAAACATCTGTAGAAGACTATGCTCATGTAAGATTTTGTACCTAGAACCGCCCAGGCTGCCTAGAACCGCCCAGGTCGCCTAGGCCGCCTAACTCCCCTATAGCATCAGAGTTGTTATCTTAGTGGAGATTTCAATAGCTGAATGACACTTGATGGTTTCGTAGAGATAGTCCAATCCGAACCAATCAACACAGCAGCTGAAACGAAAGAAAAAAAAATCGAAGCTTGAGTTGAGAGAGAGAGAGAGAGGCTCAAGACCGAGTCTTTGAATCTTGGAAGCGCATATAGAGAAGTGAAAATGGCTGTGACTGCGAGTGCAAGCTTCGCGTTCGTTTTGGAATATATTTAACGAGTATAGCCGAGCGGCTATACCGTTAAAATATTCGAATATTTTCAAAGCGTATGGCCGCACGGCTATACCTTGAAAATAATATATTTAAATAGTATAGCCGCTCGTCTATACCTTTAAAATATTCGAATATATTCAAAGCGTATAGCCGCACGGCTATACCTTTAAAATAATATGTTCAAAGAGTATAGCCGCTCGGCTATACCTTTAAAATAATATATTTAAATAGTATAGCCACGCGGCTATACTATTTAAATATACAATTTTGTCATGTTATTTTAAAATACCACTTTAGCTAATTATGATAGAGTTATTTCTTCAATTATTTTTTTTGGGATATGATTTCCCCACTCCCCTTTTCTCCACTTACACTCCCTTTTGCTTTTTAATACTTTTTAATCAATTTTGTTCATTCTCTTTCCTATTCTACCCTTACCCTACATTAATTTCTTTTGACTTCACTTTTATATTAGTTATTTTTGCTATGAGATACAACAACAAAAAATAGGGATCCACCAACATTTTGGGGATAAAAGAATCTTGAATTTCATAGTATAAAATTGCTTGCGTAAGAATTTACTTTCTAAAATGTATCCAACGTAATTATGATAAACCCAATGACAGCCTTTTTCTCATTGCACTTGACAACCTTGTTCTTTTGCTATGAGATATATCAGTTCACGTTTTATTCTAACCTGAGACTTCTGGTATGCAAATCAAGGCTATTTTTCACCGGGCTAACCCATTGGCACCACACCCAAATTTAAACACATAGATTAGTATGATTTTATCCCGTTTAATAATTCACACGGAGACAAATTTAGAAAGTGAAAAGGTGAGTTCTATAGTTGAAGACAACTCTGACCTGAAATAGCAGATTGGCTTTGACATGTGGATCATCTAAGCGGTCCTTATCCACTTTATATCAAACTCAGGTTCAATATTGTACAAGCCATAGTAAGCTGGATTAAACATCTGTAGAAGACTATGCTCATGTAAGATTTTGTACCTAGAACCGCCCAGGCTGCCTAGAACCGCCCAGGTCGCCTAGGCCGCCTAACTCCCCTATAGCATCAGAGTTGTTATCTTAGTGGAGATTTCAATAGTTGAATGACACTTGATGGTTTCGTAGAGATAGTCCAATCCGAACCAATCAACACAGCAGCTGAAACGAAAGAAAAAAAAATCCCCCGCCCAGGCCGCCTAGCGCCTAGTCCCCGCCTAGGGCGATTTTTCGAACACTGCCTGATCATCAGAAACCTCCGCAGAAAATAGTATATTCTTATAGCTTCCTGATGCTAATTCCTTGCCTAAACTCCTTCAAAAACTTCCTTGAACCAATCAACACAGCAGCTGAAACGAAAGAAAAAAAAAATCGAAGCTTGAGTTGAGAAAGAGAGAGAGAGGCTCAAGACCGAGTCTTTGAATCTTGGAAGCGCATATAGAGAAGTGAAAATGGCTGTGACTGCGAGTGCAAGCTTCGCGTTCGTTTTGGAATATATTTAACGAGTATAGCCGAGCGGCTATACCGTTAAAATATTCGAATATTTTCAAAGCGTATGGCCGCACGGCTATACCTTGAAAATAATATATTTAAATAGTATAGCCGCTCGTCTATACCTTTAAAATATTCGAATATATTCAAAGCGTATAGCCGCACGGCTATACCTTTAAAATAATATGTTCAAAGAGTATAGCCGCTCGGCGATACCTTTAAAATAATATATTTAAATAGTATAGCCACGCGGCTATACTATTTAAATATACAATTTTGTCATGTTATTTTAAAATACCACTTTAGCTAATTATGATAGAGTTATTTCTTCAATTATTTTTTTTGGGATATGATTTCCCCACTCCCCTTTTCTCCACTTACACTCCCTTTTGCTTTTTAATACTTTTTAATCAATTTTGTTCATTCTCTTTCCTATTCTACCCTTACCCTACATTAATTTCTTTTGACTTCACTTTTATATTAGTTATTTTTGCTATGAGATACAACAACAAAAAATAGGGATCCACCAACATTTTGGGGATAAAAGAATCTTGAATTTCATAGTATAAAATTGCTTGCGTAAGAATTTACTTTCTAAAATGTATCCAACGTAATTATGATAAACCCAATGACAGCCTTTTTCTCATTGCACTTGACAACCTTGTTCTTTTGCTATGAGATATATCAGTTCACGTTTTATTCTAACCTGAGACTTCTGGTATGCAAATCAAGGCTATTTTTCACCGGGCTAACCCATTGGCACCACACCCAAATTTAAACACATAGATTAGTATGATTTTATCCCGTTTAATAATTCACACGGAGACAAATTTAGAAAGTGAAAAGGTGAGTTCCTTTTGCTGATTTTCATATCCATATAAGTCCATATGCTAGAATTAAATTGCATTAATTACCCATGGAAAAAGAACAAAAGACAATAACTGAATAATTAAGGGAATCCAACTCCTAGATAAAATAAAATAGGAAACTGATTATTTTGTTGGTTTA